GGTTTCTGGTCTAATTCATAAGCCTTTGATCCACTTTGATTTGACTTGTGCAGGGTAAGAGATAAGGATCTAATTTCATCATTCCACATATGAATATCTAGTTTTCCCAGCACCATTTTTAACAATACAGTTGTGTCAGTTACTTGTGATTGCATCACTCAGCACTCAGATGCCTGCCTGTTCTTGATCATAATCAGAAGTAAAGGCGTGCCTCTCCTATCCCCTGGAGGGCTGGCACCCAGTATTCCCTCTGAGCTCCAGTGGCCTGGCTGCTGCTTCCCTGACTGGGAGAGAGAAGCTAAATGTCTTCAGAGCACCACAGGATGCTCACTCAGTAGCCTGTCTTCTTACATCAGCTGTGCCTCACTTTTAGTGGTAGAAGGCCAGAATGTCCCGTGTCCCCCCCCCCGCCTTTTTTGTTAGGAATTTTCTTTTGTTGTCACTGGGCTTAGGGAGAATAGGTGCCTGCTTTTGTTCTACTTGTCTCTGTGGGTCTGTCTCTCTGGAAGAACATGCTCTTTTAGAGGAGAGTCTGCTCCCGGTCTACCTTTGCCATTAGACAGATGGCTAGCCAGTTCTGTGAGTTGGTCTGAGTCTTTCATGGTGGTATTTTAATTTTCATAGTGGGTATCTTTTATTTGAAAATGACTAACCCTGTGTTTGATAATCTTGTACTTGATAGTCTTCTACTTCTAAATGAATGGTTTTCAATTAGTTTCCTTCCTTGTATTTTGGCTTCTTGATTTCCTTTTGTTCCTTTCATGTTTTTTTCATTTTTCAATTCTTCATGAACTCCCTGGAATTTTTGAAACTGTCACCCACCTTCAAACACTACTTAAAATATCCTGAAACATCCTTGGGTCAAAACCTACTCTTCCAAATTCCTTGGTTAAGTGCTTTCATTGCAGCTGCCTCTCTGCTATGAGCTTAGTCAGTTGGTTGACGTCTTCGCTTTTCTTGCCCATCAGCTTGTCCTTGGTTTCGCTTTTCTCCCAATCTTCTTAGGTTTCATAGGCCCTCATTCACTTTCTCTTGCTCTTGCCCTGAGCCAATGCTTATCAAACCTGGTCAAGGGATATCTGAGGGTTGAAGTCAAAACACTGGGAGCAGATGGTGTTACCTAGCAAGAACTGTGGAATGAGAGTAGAGGGGTGCTCAGCCCAGAAATTACAGAGAAGACTTATGTGTCCAGGCAGCAGAAAAAGGAAGCTGGTGAAGGAAGCTGGGAGAAAAATCAGAGAAGAAGAAATGTTGCTGCATAGAGGTCAAATAAATTATGAAGAGTGATTTAACTATTAGGTCGTTTCTTATCACTGCCAGGGCCCATTGAGTTGGCTGACAGGTGCAAAGTCAAATTAGTGGTCCAAGGAGTGAATGAGTGATGAAAATCTGTAAGTGCAGGCTATTTGTTGAGCTTGGATGTAAAGAGACATTAAGATATCTGCTAGAATCATCAAGGTTCTCAGGTCTCCCAAGGACTCTGCTCATTCCTGCCTCAGCATCTAAGAATTAGGCTATCAGTTTTACAATATCACCAGGCTGTGAGCTTTGCCGAGAGTTTTAGCTTGGGCTTGCCAGGAACTTCAAAGGCCAGTTAATCTCCCTTTGCTGCTTGTTTCTATATATTTCTCTATAACTCCCATTTATTCTTTCACATGATTTATATACCTCCGCGCCCTACATTCTCCATATGCAACTCTGATTTGATAAACTTTATTTCATGGTACTGAGAAAATAGAAGCCAGCCAAAGACCTGATGTTTCTGCTTCTACCACCAATCTACCCATCTGTAACCAAACTCAGATATTCCGTTTCCTTCTCTTCCTCCTCCTCCTTTTTGCTATGGATAACTTTTTTATATCACTCCCTCAACTTTGCACATTACTTTAGCAGTTCCTTTTTTGTCTTGTGTTGATGTTGTTTTTCTCTACTGGCATATTCATTCCACCTTCTATATCTTTTGTAAAAAGCCTCTTGGCTGCACATTCCCCTTCACATCTGTTTCTTCCTTCCTAATGACTCTCTGAAAGAACTGTCTATTTGCCTTGCCATTTCTAACTCCTCTGAACCTACTCCAGTCCAGGGTTGGCCTCCATTACTATAGAAAAACAACTCTTGTCAAGGTCGCCAGTAGCCTCCATGGTGATAAACCCAGTTGTCAATCCTCAGTCCTCATCTTACTTGGTGGGTCAGCAACATTTGACACTGTTGTTGATAATTCCCTTTTCCTTCATGTGGCTCTTTCAGTGCCTAGTCCTGTTGACCCCTCTACCCCCCATGCTTTTCTGTCAGCTTTTGCAGATTCCTCCTAAATGTTCGAGAGCTCCAGGGGCTCTGTTTTCAGACTTCTTTTCCTAGGTTGGAAATCTTATCTAGTCTCAGGACTTGAAATACCATCTGCTGATTTTTTTTTTTTTTTTTTTTTTAAGTTTCTAGCCTGGCTCCTTCCCTGCACAGTACAGATTATTATATTTTTATATCCAACTGCTCATTCAGCCTTTCTACTTGAGTGAATATATGTATTTCAGATTTAGCAGTGCTTGTTTCACCCCAGAACTCCTCTTGTGATCTTTCCTGACTCAGTTTTTCCAGTTTCTCAGGCTGAGAACCTTGTGTTCGTTCCTGCAAATCCTTCCAGGTCTGCTTTCAGAACATACCTAGGACTTGATCGCTTCTTAACGCCTGCACTGTATAGGTCTAAGTGACTTTGCTTCTGGATTTCTGTGGCAAATTCTTGTGTGGGCTCTTGCTTCTGTCCTCGCCCTCTTCTCGCTTATTTTCTATGTAACAACTCGAGCTTCTACATTATGTACATCTATCACATCAACTCTCTGCTGAGAATCTTACTGTAGATTCCCATGTCATTCAGGTTCAGGACCAACACAGTAGTTACCATGTCTAGGAAGCAGAAATTCCTACAAAGGTCTGTGCGAACTGGGCCTCCATTACTCTCTGACCTCATCTCTTAGTTCTCTCCCCTCATTGTTTGAACACACAGGAGTCACTGGTGCCGGAGACCCTTGGCATTGCTGTTTTCTCTGCCTCACTCACTTCCCCTTGGGTGTCTGCATGACTTACCGTGTCTTCTCTCACAACTCTCTCCTCACATGTCACCTTCTTGGTGAGGCATGTTCCCACTGCTGCTGGCACTGTCTGTTCCCCCAAATCTATACAGATTGTCATCTGACACACTGCAATTTAACTCTTTATCATTTACTTTGTTATTTCTCCCACTGGATTGTGAGCTTCATGAGGGCATCAGCTTTGTTCACTGCTGTGTCCCCAGTTCTTAAATGAATACTTGACATATAGTGAACACACAATAAATTTCTGTTGATTGAAGGAATTTTAGTCGGCCTCTCAGAAATATCAATTCTTTTTATATCAACTGTCAAATATCAACTCATCGCACTGACTTTAACCATATAATTTACTTTTTCTCTGCTCAGTTACTCTTCTTTCCATTCTTCTTTAAGCCCTACTCTGACTTCTGTTACATTGTAGACCATTTCCCCCTTATCCTCAGTTCCTTCCTAGAAGACCCCTCTGTTTACATTTCTTTACCAACAACTGGTTTTCCTTATGACACATGTATTCTGAGGATTACTAGGAGGAGGTGGTGTCTCTGTTAATGTTCTCCTAAGTAGCTGGTGTTCCAAATAGGTCCTCGGACTTTGCAGGTGCTCGTGAATGCTCTCATTTGTTCAAGGTCCATGTTGTATTCTGTCATTTTTCCATATGTATTTGGAGAACTCTGACCCAAGGTTTATAGTCTTCATTTTTGGGGTGTAATTTTCTAGATGGTGTCATTGATCATAGTGAAACCAGAGTTTTGAGATGAAACTCAATTTTCTTCTTCCACTAGCAGGTGAGATGGAGTTTTTTTGGATGAGGTCTGCCTCAGGTGCAGGGATTATATAACACTTGGTTCACTGCTATTGGTCCAAATTTATGTTAATTAGGGTTTGGAAATGTACTTATGCTATTGGTCGAAATTTATGCTAATTAGGGCTCAGAAACATAGTAATGCTATTGGCCAATACTTTTTTGTGAGTGTGGTGCTGGGGATTGAACCCAGGGCCTTTTATATGCAAGGCAAGCACTCTACCAACTGAGCTATATCCCTAGCCCCCAATATTGGTGAATTCTTGAGTCCCAACTTTCATTCAAATCTGTCCCACTTTCATTGTTTTGTGCCAGGTCAGGAAACTGGAGGTTGAGGTTGTGGAATAGGGCTTCAGAGCTTATCCACTCTGTGTGTGTGAATGAGTTTGCTGGTGGGGGTGGTGGCCGTGGGGGGATGGGCCGGCGCACCTTGGCTCCCCTTTGCACTATGAGCTGTGCCTGGAGCCTCTACGTAGCCTGTCTGGCAGGCTCCAAGCAGCCTGGTGGCTTGCTTTGCTGGATTGAACAGTTACGCCCCGCTCCCCACATTGATTTGTGATGCCTCATTTATGTTAAGTTTTTACATAATAGAATCTATTTCATTCATCTGTGAATTCTTGTTGCCAGCACACACTTTGTTACTGAGGCTTTCCTGTGTTTTGATATTTAGTAGGTAGTGGATTCTCTTCGACTTTGCTTCTTAGACTTGTTGATGATACACCTCCATATGATTTTGAAAAACATTTGATCAAGTTATGAAAAAAAACCTCTCCACTGGGATTTTTACCCCCTGGAATAGTATTAAATGGATTAATTGATGAGGTCACATAAATTAGTATTTTATCAAAGCTTTATATTAGCAAAATGTCTAAAATTTTTACTTTTTTTTTAAACTTGATTTTATTTGTTCTTTCTTTTATATGGTACTGAGGATCGAACCCAGGGCCTCTCACGTGTTAGGCAAGCACTCTACTACGAGCCACAATCCCAGCCCCCCAATTTTACTTTTGTATAATGTAAATCCTTTTCTCTATAAATGCTAAAAGATGTATCTTGTATTAGTTAAGAAAAAGGCAAAAAAATGTAAATGATGTGTTAAATTTGTTTTGTTTCAGATATGTTTTCTTCTTTTTGCCATTCTGTACATCGTTTCCTACTTCATCATCACAAGGTACAAGAGAAAATCAGGCAAGTACAAACATTTTTGTTAAAGCTTTCATTATTGTGCCTCCTGGTCTCAGTGTGGTACATGGGCTCTCTGGGTACTTGTTAGTGTGGTAATGTATTGAATATGCCCATGGTTGAACTAAACAGTGCCTGTTGAACTGGAGCACTAAAAATACCTTCCAGGGAATTTGATTACTGTTAGGATCATCTTTGGAGACCAGAGTCCTTGTTTATCACAATTCTTATGCCCAGCTAAGAATAGTGCTGGGCTATTTAGTGTCTGGGGAAATTCCAGAGTTTATGAGGCAATTTGGTTTCTTTTGACTGGCTCTGACTTTGAATAGTCAATTCAGTCCCACCTATCCTTTTCCAGCTACTAGAATATCTTTTTTTCTCTGAAGTACTCTAGAATTGATAGTTTCCATAATATTATTGGCATTCAGTTATCTACTATCCTTTTAGTACTTTATATTATCCTTAACTAGCTAGTGGGACCATGATATCTTTTCTTTGTTGTTGTGATATTGGGGATTGAACCCAGGGCCTCTTGCATGCTAGGCAAGTGCTGTACTATTGAGCTACAGCCCCAGCATCCCCCGCCCCCTCCAGTGAACTTTGTGCTAATTAAATTGTGACTTTTAGGTCAGAGTTTCACAAATACCTAAGCAACTGCCTTGCTGCTTTCTGACAAATCTTAGTTGTTTTCTGGGAATCATAATACTTTCAGCCTATGATGATGGGCTAATAGCAGGATTCCTTGTTTTAAGGATTCTTTGATATTATATTATCAATTTAAAAACCGTCAAACTTTTGAGAGACATAAGGAAACGGTTCTTTCTCTTATGTATTACTTTAGGAGTAGTACTTGACTCTGAACATACTGAAGTATTCTTAGATTTTGTAATTGGTCAAAGTTTTGAAGATCTGCAAATCCGAGATGGTATCTTAGCTGTTTTAAAAGATATTTTGGCATAATTTCATAGAAATGGGCACAGAAGGAGAGGGGGAGTGAGTGAGTGAACATAAATACGTTGTTTTAGGGGAGATCAGGGGTGATAAGAAGGAAAATTAAGAGACTGAGAAAGGAAGATTTAAGAGACTTAATTTTTAGGGTACCCTGGATTTAGCAGGTGTTGGGAATAGAACTGAAGTGGCCATGTGTATATTAAAGTACCTCCCAAGACGTGATGATTGACTGGTTGTGTATAAACTCACTGTGACTATTGCCTTGTGGTCCTTTTGGTTGTAAAGCTGTTTTGAGCAGCCTGGAATTAGGGATGGACACTTGAGTAACAGAAAGGCCCAAGTACACCATCAACACTGAGGTTTTAAAAGATATTTTAAAAGGCTGTGGTATCCAAATTAGTTTAGGATGGTCTCATTCTCAATGAGAATCTCATTGCCATTACTAATGACAAAATCAAATTATAGAAAATTTGACGAGTTCTAAGATTATAAGTTTTAATTTTATAGTGAAAACTTTAGTGTACTGTTATCAGCCAGAAAATTTAATTCATCAGCTATTTCACTTGATATTCTTTGACAGTACATTTCATACTGGCCCTCAGGTTCTACTAACTTTTATTTTCTTGAAGAGAAAATATTTGGGAAATTTAAATTTACATATGCAATCAGGATTTTAAAAAATACCACTGCCTTCTCTAATTGTATGCCATCCTGCCTGAATTAAATTTGGATCTTTGATGAAATAAACACAATGCTCTTTGAAAGTCTTTATTTCTATTTAGTAATTGCTTTTTTAAGTTTATGTTTTTGTTAACATTTTTAAGTAAATTAGTGAAACATTTTGTTGAAAAAGGATATTAATACTTTAAACATTTTTGCAGATGAACAAGAAGATGAAGATGCCATAGTCAACAGGATTTCGTATGTATTCTAAAATTCAGTTATTCTGTTTCTATTTCTGAAGTCAAATTCTGAAAATAATTCTGATTTTTGGACAAAAATACAGAGAAACAATTACCTGAAGTATTATAACACCTTTATCAATATATTTTAAAAATTCTTTTTAGTTGTAGATGGACGCAATACCTTCATTTATTTATTCATTTTTATGAGGTGCTGAGGATCAAACCCAGTGCCTTATAAGTGCTAGGCAAGCATTCTACCACCGAGTCACAACCCCAGCCCACCTTTCTCAATATTAATCCTACCTTTGAAAAGCACATATAAGCAAATATATGTAAGCAGTTTTAAAATTTGCTTATTTAAGGAGATGCCAGATTTTATCTTCACAAGGTTTAATGAGAAAATGGACTTAAGTTTGGAGAAACTGCTGGGTTTAAGAAAGAAAACTCCAGCTGTTTGAATTGTCTGTGGGAAAGACTGTGACTATCTTGAAACAGGGAACAGATGTTTTCTGGTTAGTGGAGTGGGCACCTTCTATGACAGGGAGGTGGGCCCTGATTGTTCATCATAGCAAAAAGAGCCATTCAGAACCACACATTGCATTTAGTCATCTTGTCCCTTTAGTCTTCCTCAGATAACAACCCTGGTCAGCATTTCCTCAGGTTTCCTGATCTTGATGCTTTTGAAGAGTACTGGTCACTTATTTGGTTTTGTCTGATGTCTCTTCATGACTACTATCAGATTATGCATCTTTGATAAGGGGAGAGGTGAGAGGGCAAGAAAAGGGGAAGAGGGAAAGAGATTACCTGTGCTTCCAATACATTGATACACGTGTACTAAAACATGTAGTCACATGCTACAGAACAGTATTCAGCCATAAAAAGAGATGAAGGACTAATAGATCTTGCAGTGTGGATTTCATATAGTGTGAATTGCACCTCAATGAAAGAGTAGTTTTAGCTAACAAATGACTTGAATAGGCCAGATTTGATTCATAATTGAAAAATGAATATAAATGAATTCGCCTTACTAGATTTGGCAATTTAAATTATTTCAAGTGTCCTAGGAAAGTTGGATAAGAAACAAAAATAATTGCAACTTCACTGTAGAGATTCTTTCCTTAGGCTCCAACTTAGGCCCTAAGCTTGATGTTTTAAATTTACAGGGTTAGGGGGTCTTAATTTTATTACTAACATTGTGATATTTGTCAAAATTTTTACCTAAATTAATGCTTCTGTAAAACTACAATTCACTTCACTACATCTAAAAAACAGTCATGAATCACAGACTGAGTAAAGGGCAGATCTTCCTCCATGTGAAATCCTCTAGGTGTGAAGGGTAAGTGAAGTATGGGCCTTTATCTTCATCATTTAGTCTGCACAACTTTGGTGGTAAGTGTACTTAAATGCACTTCGAAATTAATAATTTATAAACTTAACAGAGCGTATCATTTTGCCTTTTATCTGTAAAAGTGTGTTTAATGAGGATGCAACTGTGTCCTGTTTTCTTGTGAAACTGTCCACTAGCAGGCTTTACTTCCTTCCTCTGCTCCAGTGGGGCAGCTGCACAGCATGACAGTAGGTGGGGCTTTCCCACTAAGTAGTTTCTGTGTCACAGAGGTTTGTGCTATATCCTGTTCCTAAAGGTGGATGGGTTTGCAGTTACAACAGAGTTACGAGGGGGAAGCCTGGAGAGAGTCACCGGAGAGGATGAGTGTTGTCTGGTCAACTCCCTTCCCCTGCATTGGTGATAAGAGTGAAAACGAAAACCAGAGAGTGAGGCTGGTATGCGTTCATAGTTTGCACCCAAAATTAACTTGCATCCAGAAGAGATGGAGAAGCAAAGATTGGCTTTCTCTATTTGTAAAGGAGGGCTTTCATCTCCTTTGTAGGATGTGAATTAAATAACATCGGCAAAACAACAACAACAAAAAAGGTTGCTTGTGGTGTAGCAGGTGGGATCAATGTCACTCCCCTTTTCCCTTGCCTTCCCTCCTATCCCTGAAAGCAGTTGTGAGCAAGGCAGAGAAGAACAGGAAGCTTAACTAGGACAAAAAAGGAGTTGAGACACGGTGTTGAGCACAGGTGAGGGTGACACCATTCTGTCCACGTGAGAGGGCTTTCCACGGCTGACTAAGCCTCTTATTGGCTTTTTTGACCCTTTTAGAGGCCACCTTTGGTTTCTCTTCTGTTCCTGATATGCCTTTATTCCATGCTCTGTTTCTGTGTACTCAAAATCCTAAATTAACTTCCTCTGCCCTTTGTAACTCAGTGCATTTTTGAGAACTCTTCTCAACTAGGTATTTAATTTGATTTGAATTAATAGTTGATCCAAAAATTAAAAAAATAGGTGAGACTGCTTTTGCTGGCTGTGAGCCTGGGCAGGACAAGGAGGATGTTTGTGCTGGAGGGAAGTCTGGCATGTATGTGTGTGTGTGTGTGTGTTGGAGCCTGGCCGGTGAGGTCAGCTGCATAGGTAAAGAGAGCTTCTGAGAAGGGGGTCCCTATAGGCTGAGGATGGTGTCTGTGCTTGTGGGAGTCTGGCTGGGGTGGTGGAATGATTCAAGGGGGAAGGAGGGTGTCTGTATGGCAGACAGTCTAGAGTGGGGAGCTCCATAAATAGGAGAGTGCTTGTCTGTACAGGTTGGGGATAGTGTGATAGGAGATTGGTTATTTGTGATGGCAAAGCCTGATTCTGTAAAGATAATGGGACGAACCAAGAACAATCAGAGGAAAAGGAAAAAATGGAAACAAATTACCAAGTTGTTGCCTTGGAATTGGAGGTATCAGTGTAATTTCATGGTTTCCAGCATCTAGAGAGTTTAGAACTAAATATAGAAATAAATATGGGTCTTTGTGTGCACATGTGTGTGCTCAGCACATGCTGTACCGCTCAGCTCTGTCTGCCCTCTGAGGCGCCTGGAAGTGCCTTTCCCAGCATCAGTGAGCATTTCCAGCATGCCCAGAGACAGCGCCTACTGAGCAAAACAGTGCTTTTGGAGAGAGGTTGGGTTGCAGGTTGGGGTCAGGAAAGGCCCAGGCTAATTTTGTACATCTTTTTTTTTTTAATATTTATTTTTTAGTTGTAGTTGGACATAATACCTTTAATTAATTAATTAATTAATTAATGTGGTGCTGAGGATCGAACCCAGGGCCTTTCATGTGCTAGGCCACAATCCCAGCCCCTAATTTTATACATCTTATTGTAAAGAATCAAGCAAGTACCCAGAGAGTGATGGGCATATGTTGAAGGAGGCAGAATCCTTCAGGGTTCTCATACCAAGTTAAAGGCAATTCAAGCAACAGAGTCAAGCATTTAATGGATCCTAATCCATTGAGTATAGTAGAATGGTTTTGAGTCCATACAGAAATCAGTAAGTGAATTAAATCGAAAGTTTCGACAAGAAGAACTAACCTTACGCAGAATACTAATTAAAGGAAAGAGTAACTTTATGGTGGAGAACCCTGGTGGACACCACTTTGACCAGTGATCATAGACAACAGTGTTAGTAAAAGGGCAGACAGCAATTCCCAGCTACTCATAGCTATCAAAAGAAGCGTGGACACTTCTGTGATAGTCCTGTCGAACTCCATGTATCCACAACGGAATCCTCATTTCCCCTTCAGCCTGCTGTGCTTTGTAGCCTTCTGCATCTCAGGTACTATCAGCTCCACCCTTTCAGTTCAGGCCCAAAGCCCCAAAGTCACCCTGATGCCTTTCCTGTCCTCCTCTCCATATTAGGCATCTATCTGTTCTGTCTTCAGGACCGCACTGCCCATCTTACTGTCTTTATTGCTGCCATATCTGCTTCAGGAGCTTTCCAGTGAGTCTCCTTCTTCTGTCCTTGCTTCTGGTCAGAACATTAGCCAGATCATGCCCCCTTCTGCTCAGAGTTCTGGAGTAGCCACTCCTGCCCACTCAGAGTGCGAGCCAAAGTGCTCACCTGGCCCAAGACATTCCTCCATGGCCCTCTTGCCCTTCTCATTGCTGAAAGGCAGCCATATCTCGTGCTTTCCTTAAAAGGCTGGCCACGCCCGGCTTAGGGCTTTCAGACCTATTTTGTTTTCCCAGAGTGCTTTTGTTGTCAGCTGCCCCACTGAGCTTTCAACCCCTTCCATTTTGCTTTGCCTTACCTTCCCCCTAAATTTCAGACAGCCAGCCTGCCTTTTCTTTTCTTTCAACAGGAATTGAATCCAGGGGTACTTTACCACTGAGCCCCATCCCAAGCCTATTTATTATTTATTTTGTGACAGAATCTTGCTAACTTGGCTTGGGGCCTTGCTAAATAGATGAGATTGGCTTTGAACTTAAAACCCTTCTGTCTCAGCCTCCTGAGCTGCTGGAATTACAGGTGTGCCCTACCACATCCATCTAAATCTTTGCTTTTCAGTGAAGCCTACACTGACGGCCATACTTAATACTGAAACTCGTCTGTCTTCCTTTCAATTTCTAGTCCTCCGTTCCTTGCATTATGTTTCTGTAGCATTTATGATTTTAATGTTATACGATTTCACATTTACTGTTTTATTGTTTATTATCTGACTTTCCCAACTGGATTCTAAGCTCATGAGGGCAAGAATGGTTGTTTTGTTTATTGTTATAACGTGCCTAGAACAGTCCTATCACAGAACTTTAAACATATATATCTTTCTGGTGAATGAGTGTTACCAAAAGACTCACTGAGTCAGATACTCTGGGATGTGTGTTTAAAAAGCCTCATGGTGGTCCAGATGATGCTTCTCGTTACTCCTTGGGGGTCCTGATGCTAGAGCTGGGTACTCCTTCTGTGGTGCTGATAGTACTGCTGCTCAGAATAACATGGTTATTCTGACAATCACTGGTTAAAGAACCACTGATGTAGAGTGAGGGATGAGGGAGCCTAATTCATGCAGCATATATTTACTGATTAGCTAGACAAAGATTTAGGATGAAAATAGTGCTCATCAACTTGAAATATCATGCAAGGTCAGGTTCAGATTGCAACTTAAAAGTATCTGATAGATTTGATCGTAAGGAGAACTTTTTCACTACTGTGGGGTTAGGGTTTAGATATGGAATGTCCACCAGCAGCTCGTGTGTTGAAGACTTGATTTCTATGGCAGCAATGTCCAGAGGTGGGGCTTTGGGGAAGTGAGTGGATAATGAGGGCTGTAACCTTATCAGTGGGTTATTCCATTTGATGGATAAATAATTTGAGTGGACTATGGGAGGTGGTCAAAAGTTTTGTCAGGTTGGGTCCATTTGGAGGAAGTGAGTCGCTGGGGACATGCCCCAGGGGACTCTATCTGTCCCTGGCCCCTTCTTTTCTCTGGCTCACTCTGTCTGCTTCTAGCTGCCTTGAAGGAAACAGCTCTTCTTTATTTTGCCCTTCTACCATGATGTGCCCTCACCTAGGGCCCAGGGCAATCGAGTTTGCCGTGGTGGACTGACATATCTGTAACAATGAGCCAAAATAGATCTTTCCCCTAGTTGTTCTTTTCTGGTATTTTGGTCACAGTAATGAAAAGCTGACTAACATGTGGTGAGCAGTGGAAATCCTACTGCAGTGTGTTAAGAAAAAAACTCATGTAGAAGTAAAGATGTAACTTGTATGTCCCTCTCAAGAAGCTTTTTGAAAGATCAGAAATCCTGTAGGACGTTTCTATTCTGAGGATTAGGAGCTAGAGAAGGTGACATGGAAGGTTAAAGATGTCCAGCTGGTGAGGCAGGAGGCCTGTGGAGACAGCAAGGTGGAGAGCTCCCAAATGGTAAATGTTTTAGTCAGCTTTTGTGTTGTTGTGGCTAAAATACGTGATGGGAACAATTTAGAGGAGGGTAAGTTTTTTGGTTACAGAAGTCTTAGTCCATAGATGGGCATGTTCTGGGCCCAAGGTAAGGCAGAACATCGTGGGGGGAAGGACATGGCAGAGAGAAGCTGCTGCCCTCAAGGCAGCAAGTAACTGGGGAGAAGTGGAGGAAGGGGAGAGGGAGAAAGGGGGCTGCAGGGACAATACATCCTGCCAGGGCAGACCCCTGTGACCCACTTCGTCCAGCCATGCCCTACCTGCTTACAGTTATCACCCCTTTAGACTAGGTTGGACTGGTCAGATCACAGTTCTTGCAATCCAGTCATTTCACATTCTTGCATTAATACAGGAGCTATTGGGGGATACCTCATATCCAAACAGTAACAGTATGGAAGGAGTTTACCCTTCTGTTCCCATTCTGAAAGAGAAGACTGTCATTTTCCAGGAATGAGGCACTGCAGGACTATGTCAAAAAGCTTGGAAAGAGCTTGAAGATTTGAAGATGTGGTCAAGAACGGGGGATTAGAGATCCAAGAGTCAAGGTTCTGGCTTTTGTTTGCCAACTGAAAGTATATGAAAGTTTTGTGGAGTGTTCAACTAAGTTGAAGTGGTCTTATTGTCTTAATTCATAATCACTGCACAAGATGTGGTCTGTGGACGACCAGCTGTCTTTACCCCCATTATATTCAACATCTCAGTGTCAGTCCTCACCACATTTTGGAGAGGAGGGGAGATTCTGCCTTTCTCATTGGATCAAGGAGATAGTAACAAATGTTAGATACTTGGGAAAACACTGGTCTTATCCCCTCCACTATCACAAAAGACATATTACTCTAAAGATGCAATTTTTTTATTCTGCTGCATTTCAGAAGGACATTTCTGAAATTTCTTCAATTCTGAAAGGCCTCTCTTCTTTAATTACATAAGTAGTGTGATATAAAGCACAGTATTCTATGGTGCTTTTTCAACTTGGGGCCTTATTTTAAGGACCAGCTCTCTGCCAGCTTTAACTCTGTCACATGAACCTTTTATGAATAACTTTTTTATTCAGCTATATTCAGTGGCAGCAGCAGTGATTTTTAAAAAAATATTTTTGTTATCTTTAGGGCCAATCACAACAACTAAAGTGTAATAGGCTCTAATAGTTTTTTTTATGAAAGATCAAGCATTATAGTTGTGATGATCAGTTGTTCAGGAATTGTGGGTCTTCTGTGACTTTAAATAATTTGTCCCAGAAGCGGACTCCTTTTGTTAGATCACTGGTTATAGTTATTGATTTGAAAACTGTGTTGGCCTTTATTGCCAGGTGTATGATGAGAGTATTACAGGAGTCAAGAGGGGAGAGGAGCTAATTTTCTGGAGAGGAGCAAGATGGTAGAAGCTAAGGAATGATTCTTAGGGCAGATGACATGTGAAGTCTGTTTTGAAATTTGTGCATGACTTGCCATGTGGGTATGTGGAGTGTACTTTAAGGAGGGTGCAGGTGTGGATGCTAACAATGCAGTTTGATGTGTAGGGAACGAGGTGGGTAGGGAAGTCTAAGTGTATGCTGAAGTGTGTCCTGGTAAAGGCATCCTGAAAAGCACACAAGGAGAGCCAGTCCTGGAGAATTTGGATTTGATCTTAGCTTTGGCCTTGGTAGGAATGATGGCAGCTGGGCTAACATCCTCATTTTCCTAGAGAGGTTTGCTGGGATTACCACTAGAGCTGCCCTCCACCCTAAGATGAAGACTTTGTCTAGAGTGATTTTCTCAGGACATGTGCTGTCTACTGAGCGGAACCAGTTCGTAGCATTTCTCATGTGCTTTATCTGAATTATATGTTGGTATGTAACACATGGTCCACATTTGAGGTTTTTGACATCAATTTACCAAACACAGCAGGTTTTCTGGGCACTTTGACTTTAACTAGGAATATATTTCACTTCTGTTTTTGGCCACAAGATGGCACTGACCTCAAAGTTACTTTAGTCAGTGTGTATTTTGAGAGTTTAGTATGATTCTATTTTGAATGTTAGTGAAGTTTTCTTTTCTTTTGCCATTATATTCTGTAAAAACTTTTTCCAAGTTAGGTATTTGATATAAAAAGTTTAAACATATCAGGAATAAGTGTAACTGAGAAAGCGAAAGCCCCTTGTAACTATATACCTCCCCATGGGTTATTATACAGTGTGTGGACTTTTTATGCCTCTTTTTTCTTGATTGCATATGTGCATTTTGGGGGGATGGGGTGGGAAGAGCTGTTTTATATTTATTGTTCATGCTTTTTTTTTCATTTGTTGACTTAATTTATTTTAGATTTTTTTTTATATTAGAGCTGTGTTTTATCTATTTTATTGATAGACTATTTTTTGAAAATAAAATTTATTAAATAGGTAACAATGTATAACTTCATTTATATTTGTGTGGTAGAAGGATTAAGGCTTTTTCTTGTTCTTGATCATTTATAGTTCTTTTTTTGATTAACATATACTGATTGTGCATATTAATGAGATTCAGTGTTTATTTCAGCATTTGTATATTGTCTACACTGATCAGATCAAGGTAGTTAGCATTTCCCTTTTCTTGTCATGAAATAATCATTTTATTTTATTTCTTTATTTTTTTTGGTTTTGAGGATTGAACCAACAGGTACTTTACCACTGAGGTCTCATTAAGATTCTGAGGCTGGCTTTGAACTTGCAGCATTCTTGCCTCAGCCTCTTGAGTTGCTGGAATTACAGATCTGCACCACTACACCCAGCTGAGATAATAATTTTAAATTAATTTTTTTCATAAGTGTTTTTTTTTAACCCGAGACAGTTGTTGCATTGCTTTTAACATACATTGTCAAAGCTATTAATTAAATACAATTGTGAAATAAATACTTGTTTTTAAAATATGAATGGAACCACTGCTGCAAAATGTGAGAAGCACGTTGTATTTTATATATATATAATCTGTCTTTTAGGTCTAGTCATCAGATTTACTGATCTTTTCATGGAGTTTGGGAGTTTGAGAGTTTACTTCCAGGACCATATATACATCATTTGTCTTCCAAATACATATATTTAATGATATCCTTGTATAATATTTTTTTGATTAGACAATTGAGTTTGTATTCTTCTGATGTTGCTTCTGTGATCATTGGTTTGTCCTGTCTAGTGACCATGACTCTCTTCTCTTCCAGGTTGTTTTTGAGCACCTTCACTTTAGCAGTTTCAGCTGGGGCTGTTTTGCTTTTACCCTTCTCAATAATCAGCAATGAAATCCTGCTTTCTTTTCCTCAAAACTACTATATTCAGTGGCTAAATGGCTCCCTGATTCATGGTTAGTATATATTGCTTAGTATAATCATTATTAACATTTTAATTTCTTACTACATTGTATTTTAAAATTTTTCTTTTCTTAGTTTCCTTCATAATTTGTAACTTTCTCTAGTAAATCATTAGGATCCTTAGTAAATCAGAAAAGTGGATTTTACTTACCATTCCTGTTTTTTAGCTGTGAAAGGCTTTTCTCTCTTATTTAATCTAAAAGCAGTTTTTAATATTCATTATGATTTTGATAAAATATCATTTAAATATTTTGGAAGAAAAATTTGATTCAACTGGTTATGTTGAATTTTCATTGAAAACCTGAAAAATCAGGGACCATAGTCTGTTTTATTTGTTTTCTATTAGTTTCCTTTGTCATTTCAAAAATATATGATGGAAGGGGGAAAACACACTATATCAAGTATAAACTTTGTGATTTAAAAAAGTAATGACTGACTTAATATGGATAATAAGATATATTGCTTTGAAGGGAAGTAGACTTGCATTCCAACTTTGGTCAGCCATTTTCTAGCATACCCTGGGCATTATGGTTTGGATGTAAGACACTGAAAGGATGTTGCAAGATGGAATGATTAGATTATGAGAGCTGTAACCTAATCCACTGGTGTGGATTAACTGGGTGGTGACTTCAGGAAGGTAGGGTGTGGCTATAGGAGGTTGGTCACTGGGGGCATGCTTTTGGGTTTAATATTTTGTCCCTGTGAGGATCTCTGCCCCCATCCCGCTTCCTGATTGCCACGTCTGAGCTGCTTTTCTCCCCTGTACCCTTCCACATTAGAGTTGGCTGTCTGTGGACTGAGACCTCTGAAACTGTGAGCCAAAATAAACTTCTCCTCATCTAAGTTGTTCTTTTTTTGTCACTAGAGTTTGAACCCAGGAGTGCTTATCTGATGAGGCATATCCCCACCCCTTTTTATTATTGTGTTTTGAGACAGGATCTTGGTAAGTTGCTCAGGGCCTTGATAAGTTGCTGAGGCTTTAAACTTGTGATCCTTCTACCTCAGCCTCCCAAGCTCGAAGTTGTTCTCGTTGGGTATTTTGGTTACAGCGAGGAAAAACTAAAACACTGGGCAAGTCATAGTTATTATCTGACTTGTTTCCTATTCTCTTAGTTAGGATGATAAATAAGATCTATCTTGCAGGCTTGAGTTTAGAAATATAACTAATGTAAAATACCTGTCTCTTAACTGGTGCTATAGGTTATTTAGACTGTGTCTTCTCTCTCTCTGTCTGTCTCTCTCTCTTTCTCTCTTTCTCAAGGTGGTGTTGGGGATGGAACCCGGGCCTTCAGCATACTAGGCAAGTGCTCTACCTCTGAGCTACATCCTCATCTCTCTCTCTCTCTCTCTGTTCTTCCTAAAGAGACTTACTGTTTTTTATATATTAATTTAGTGTAGGTACACTAAACTGTTTTCTCTCCTAGAACATGCTGGTATAATTCTTTTATAATTGTCTCTTAGAATTCATTAATGTTCTTAGAGATTTTGATATTTTTCTTCTTTATCCTACTCATACCTCCCCCATTTATTAGCAATATTTTTTAAAAAATTTTTTAGTTGTAAATGGACACAATACCTTTATTTTATTTTATTATATTTATTTTTATGTGGTTCTGAGGATCAGACCCAATGCCTCACACACACATCCTGGGCAAGTGCTCTACTACTGACCTACAACCCCAGCCCCAACGTTATTTTTTGTTACTAGTTATTGTAAGTGTTGTTTTATTGGTGTCATTAGTTGTTAGTTATTAGTGTTAACACTTATTTTCTTATAGAGATAATGTAATTCGATAGTTATATGGTGGGTTAGATACATTCTTTATGAAAACCAAATGCATGTAACAGAAATTAGGGCACCTCATTTTCAGGTGTTTTAGTGTGGAGTCAAATTTCCCCCCATCCTGATGAAGTAGCACTTTGAAATTATTGAAGAGTGTCTTCTTATGAAATAATATCTTTTTAAAAAAATAATTTTGTTATATTTATGTGGTGCCTAGTGCCTCACACGTGCCAGGCAAGCGCTCTACCATTGAGCCACACCCCAGTTTAGGAAATAGTATCTTGACCAGTATTTGCTGCATGTTTGAATTCCTTCATGCCATGTTTAAGGTAAAACATGACTTTTTCTTACCAAGGAGCCTTTTTTTGAGTTAATGGTAGAATGTCCTTCTTTAATAACATGCAGCTGACCTGCCATTGTACTAGAAACAGATGTTATCAGAGATGGCTTCTCTCCATTAAATATATGGTATAGGCCAGTGCATTTGGGCCTCCCAAGTGGACATACACCTTGGGATAACTTGCCTTGTAATATTATCATGATAACTGCTAGTGGACATACACCTTGGGATAACTTGCCTTGTAATATTATCCTGATAATCCATATGCAACAACTGAAATACCTCTTGCATGCCTTAAATTGCTGCATCTTCTCTTTTAGCTGTTATCATGTTCTTTGTAACTAATGCAAAAGAAAAGAACAGAGTAAAATGTAAGAGATCCACTAGTTTACCAGTTTAATGTATGAGATGAGTAAATTTGAGAAAATACAGAATGTTTGAGGAAGTACAGAGTGTACCTTTTGTAGATGAGGTTCCTTCAGCATTCCCTTAGCTGGTGCCGTGACTCAGGCCCTGCATGTTAAGGACATCAGGAGCAACAATGGCTTCTTTCTCACTTTTTTCCTGAACATAAAAGTAGTATTTGTTCACTATAGAAGGATGGACAATAGGGAACAGTTCAAAGAAGAAGATAAAGCCCACTCTTTTCTCAGTGTATCTATATGTGTGTGTGTGTGTGTGTGTGTGTGTGTCACGTGGCACATGCCATTCTCATCTTTTTAAGCATTTACTATCACATTGTGAATGTTTTACATGCCATTTGATGGTCTTGAAAGCACTGGCTGGCTTTCTTCTCTTCATGGGGCACAAAGATATAAAAACTTCAGGTACATGTATAATTTGTTCCATGTCTTTTGCCCTTTTCTATTTTGTTTTCATATTGATTTATGTGGTCTTTTTGTATGTTGACGTGAGACACATTTACTATTTAATTATATTGAATAATTATTATTTAATTTCCATGAATATATTTTTTGGTTGTTTTAATTTTGCTTTTTAAATTTATTTGCTCTTTTGAGTTTCCGAATTTTATATTTTATGTTATCTGGTCCTTTTCTTCTTAAGAATTTTTGATTTTTATTTACTTATTTATTTATATTTATTTTTTTAAAAAAATAAATGACAGCTGAAAGTATTACAATTCTTATTATATGTATACAGCACAATTTTTCATATCTCTGGTTGTATATAAAGTATGTTGACACCAATTCGTGTCTTCATACATGTACTTTGGATAATGATGTCTATCACATTCCACCATCCTTGCTAATTCCCTGTCCTCTCCCTTTCCCTCCCACCCCTCTGCCCTATCTAGAATTCATCTATTCCTCCAGGCTCCCCCTCCCTACCCCACTATGAGTCAGCCTCCTTATATCAGAGAAAACATTTTGGCATTTATTTTTTTAGGGATTGGCTAACTTCACTTAACATTATCTTCTCCAACGCCATCCATTTACCTGCAAATGCCATGATTTTGTTCTCTTTAATTGCTGAGTAAAATTCCATTGTGTATATATGCCACATTTTTTTTTTATCCATTCATCCACTGAAGGGCATCTAGGTTGGCTCCAAAGTTTAGCTATTGTGAACTGTGCTGCTATAAACATTGATGTGGCTGTGTCCCTGTAGTATATGCTGTTTTTAAGTCTTTTGGGTATAGACCGAGGAGAGGGGTAGTTCCATTCCCAGATTTTCAAGGAATCTCCATACTGCTTTCCATATTGGCTGCACCAATTTGCAGTCCCACCAGCAGTGTCTGAGTGTACCTAGAAAAATAAGAAACTCAGAATAGCTAAAGCAATCCTTAGGAGGAAGAATGAAGCAGGTGGCATCACTGTACCAGTCCTTAAACTATACTACAGAGTAATAGTAACAAAAACAGCACGGTATTGGCACCAAAACAGACTGGTAGACCAATGGTACAGAATAGAGGACACAGAGACTAACCCATAAAATTACAATTATCTTATATTAGACAAAGGTGTCAAAAACATGCATTGGAGAAAGGATAGTATCTTCAATAAATGGTTCTGGGAAATCTGGAAATCCATATGCAACAAAATGAAATTAAACCGCTATCTCTCACCATGCACAAAACTAACTCAAAGTGGATCAAGAACCTGGGATTTAAACCAGAGACTCTGGGTCTAATAGAAGAAAAAGTAGGCCCTAATCTTCATCATGTGGGATTAGGCCCCAACTTCCTTAATAAGACTCCTATAGCGCAAGAATTAAAACTAAGAATCAATAAATGGGATGGTCCTTTTCTTCCTTTGGTTTCTCTAACTACTTTTGATTTTAGAAAATCCTTTCTCATCCTGAGATGTGACAAATATGCACTTTTTTCTTTTTCTCTATTTTTTAAATGGTTTTCTTTGTACTTATCTGTTATTCCCTCTGGCATTTATATGGGTAACTACCTTTTCTCTAGTCCCTTTCCCAAAGTTAGCTCATTTTCCCAGTATCATCAATTGAATATATTTTTATCTGCTTTTCTAGAAATACTCTATTTTTGACTTGGTAAATTATTACATAGGGTTTTGTTTTTGGGCTTGGGTACACAGATTTTGGAGTCAGATAGATCTGTGTTTGAATTTCAACTTTGTATTTTACTAGAAGTAACCTTGTTGAATTTGTTTAAGCTTTCAAAGTTTCAGTATTTTATCTGTCAAAGGAATAGAAAGATGTAATTTTAAAATAAGATATATGGGCCATATATACAGCATAAAAAAAAATCTATCTAGTCAGATGGTACAGAGTAAGCTTGAAAAAATAAGTGCTGAGTTTTAATTCCTTGTTCTTTCCCACTGTACTATGATATTGTTTTAAAGACTGTAGTTTTGTCATGCTTTGGTCCCACTAAGTTTTTA